TTTATGCTACAAGAGCCTTGGTTGAACTCGAGCCCCAGAATAAATTCCTTGTCTTTCACACATTGCTCACCTATTGTAAATTAAAAATATATAGCACCCCATTGTAAAGCTTTATTCATAGTGTGGCGGTTTGTTCCCATCAACCGAGAAAATTGTGGAGTGGCCTAATGATTTCACTGCAGTGAGGGCCTTGAATTTTGTTGAATATAGATTGACTTTGTGTCTTAATGCTTCAACGTTTTTAAAGTGGATTTACAGCCTTTACTTTTAAATTGAATCACATATTTTCTTCTCAAATAAGCATATGAGATACGTGTCAATATAGTATATGGTCAGAAAATCACTGTCAGGGCAGCATTTCAAACTGACAAAAAGGACAATGTCACCCTTAAAAGCCAAGCCAAAAGAGGACATATCAGCACACAAGATTCAAGAGTCCTTTCACACCAACAGGCAGACAGGCATTAGGAGGTTAGTGTCCAGCATTCTTGAGCCTGGTTGTCTTGCGGAAAAACTGTCCCAAAGCATGATGATCCGAGACTTGAGGCTCCAGCACCAGACACCAGCAGCTACAGTGCACGGGGTGGGGTCTGAAAATGTTGCCACTCAATTTTTTCTCTGCCACTTATGAAATTGTTACAGAACACTTCAGAATTGTAAACACTGAGTCAGTGGTACCTGACAGTAGAAACACTGGATATAGGATGCATAAACAATCACTGACTATTCTTGATTTAATTTTATATTAAACTTAAGCTCAATTATTTCATGTACAATAACTGTATATTTAGTTACACTGTGCAACAATATCTCCTACTGTATTCATCCATCTTTCAAGGCAATATTTTTAGATCTGTTTCTGTAGTATAACACACAGTAATTATTATGGTCAATTTTTATTTACAGCATATCTGCATGAAAGGTATAGCCTACATAGCTGTTTTTTTATTTTTATTTTATGTATATATTTTTTATCTATCACTCTTGTATCTGCACTTGTTGAATCTTAAGCTGATGTGGCCAGCAAAGTTTATCTTTGCTTCTGAAAAATATCTGCATTGGTGGCAGGGGACTTGGAAGTTTTACATTTACCCTGTATTTGATAGGTGTGAGGTGCTAACCTAACCCTAACCCTATACATTAATGGTAAAGTAATGTAGATATATTGGATAGTTGCTTTTATTTACTATAAAACAATGTTTATATAAAGTGAACTCCTTGAATTAAAAGTATGTAGATATATTGGATAGTTGCGTTTAATTACTATAAAAGTAAGTTTATTCAAAGTAAACCTATACATTAATGTGAAAAGTACGTGTTTTACATCTAAAAATCTGTACTTTGACGGGGAGTTCTTGTGGATGTAATTGATAATGTTATGAATTTACCAAAGAATACTGTGTAAAAACAGAAGACTTCTTTAATTGTATAATTGTAAGGTATTCCTGCAATAATTTCCAGTTTATATGCAGATTTATTCATTTGTTTAATGTTCTACAGACATTTTTTAATGAGATTTTCTTTTCATTCTACAGCAGTGGAACTGTAAAAATACAGAAAATGTTTACAGTAAATATCTGTATTTTAAAAAACAGAATTATTCCGTAGAATAACTTAAGGTTTTTTACTGTAATTTGACGGTAAGTGTTTGGCAACTTTGCTGCCAGACTTTTTACCGTTTTTTTACGATTGTTTTTTTACATGTATTTACCTTAAATTTAAGGTTTCACAGTAAAAAAACACATAGTTGTCTTAATTTTAAATAAGCGATTTTTTTTGTCTTTTTACATAGAATTTAATGTAATTTAACATTCAAGCCAATTAAACAAAAGAATAATCCTGTAAAAAAACTATGATTTCTCCTTATATGAATTTACAGATTATTACTTTTATTTTATGGTTAATGTTTTTAATAAAAGTTTTTTTCTGTATTTTAATGACATTTACACGTAATGTTAAAAAACAGAAAATATCTGTAAAATAATACAGTATATTTCTGTGAAAAAACTTTTTTTTTTTACAGTGTAGGGATGAACGGAATGTTCCCGGTTCAACACAAGTTAAGCTAATCGACTGATTTTGTTGCATAATGTTTATTTCCACAGAAACTCAGAATTCAAAGAAAAAAAAAAAACTGAATTAGAGTAAATCATTGTGAAGGGTATAGCTGCAGCCTGGAGATCTCCAAACAGGGTGGGAGCTCCATAATAGTGACAGACAGACAGACACATGACATGCATGTGTAAGTTTTCCCCCCAAACCATTTCAGTGCAAACTCCGCCCCACAGCTGATTCTAAAGATTTAATTGGTCATGTCAATCACAGTGCTGATTTCCTACATAATGCTTCAATAAATTCTCACCCTACACACTAACCTTAACCAATGAAATTGACTTCATGTCGGGATTTGCGCTGAATAGTGTGCTAAAGAAAATGTCAGTTCAGTAGTTAAGCAGTTAATAAGATTATACGAAAAGAGATCGCCGAGCCGGGCCGTCTGTAACTCCCCAACCGGACCTCACCAGACAATGGGACCTTGCACCCAGTGTCACTGCCCTCTTCTACCCTGCGAATCTCGAGCCCCAGGGTGCCCCGTTGATTAGAACAAAGCAACAGACTAAAACGTTCCCACATGTAAAAATTACGTTTTATTTTAGATCAACTAGAAACAATGTTTCATTTACGCATTTTTATTTTGAAATGTAAGTCAATGACAATTGGCTGAAGCCAGAGCCAATGGAGCAAGTCTTTGTGCGTGGATACCCTGTCCCCTTTTGGAGGTTCTGCCCACTTTTGGAGTTCACGCCGCATTTTGGAGATCTCCGGTCTATACCTACTTGGAAGCATTTAGAAGTAAACACTGTCAGCATGTTACTTCATCTTTATGTTTATATTACATAATTTATATAATGTTCATGTTTGTTTTATTTATTTTTTAATCTTTTACAATAAAACTTTCATCTTCCATAATGTCTTATTATTGATGTTGAAAAAAGTTGTGCTGCTTAATATTTTTGTGTGGAAATCATGACGCATTTAAATGCATTTATTTGACTGCATTTATTTGAAATAGAAATATTTTGTTTGATGAATTTAATGCCTCCTTGCTGATTTAAAGGATTCCTTTCTAAAAAGAAAAATCTTACTGACCCCAAACTTTTAAAAGTAGTGTATGCTTTTCACATGTAAAGTCTAAATTCTGTCTCTCTCTCTTTCTGTTGTTGCAGTGACACTACTGTTGTATCCGGATCTACAACTCATCAAGATATTCATCACTGATGTAATTCCAATAGGTGTTTCCAGTACATCAACAGAGGCCGTCTCCCACCGGTGTCAGGTAAAGATATGTCTTGTTTTTGTCATCAGATATTTCAAATATGTGCAGACACCAAACAGGAGACAAGGATGTCCTTCGCTGATTCAAGACAACGGTCTGACAGACTACCTGCTCGGCTCCATGCAAATAAGGAAGTTGTGTCACCAGTGTTACACTGTCATGACAATAAAGTTGAAATATATTGGATATATGGTTAGTAAGTGATTTTATTCACACTAGTTTTATGTTAACATGTATGGCATGCATTTACCCTGTCTACTTCCATCGTAAGTGCCTTATTAAAAAAAGAGGGATGAATTGACATGATTGTATTATGTATTATGCCACAAATGCTGTCAATTTGGTTCCCATTCCTCTAATTCCATTCCACATATTTTGTTTTATATGATTGATTCAGCACATTGAAGAATAATTCTGTGGGGGTGAAAATGTTCTACTAGAACTAGATCTACACATCATCATTCATTTTCTGTAATTTAGCTAATATGGTATTTCAAATGACACATTATTTTTATTAAAAGATGATTAAGAAACTGACAAGAAAAACTAAATAATATTTTACCTGAAAATCCCGTCAATGACCTTATAAAACATTCACTGCATACAAAAGTAAAAATGTTGCTCAGTTTATTAAAGAGATGAACTCATTTCAGATCAGCATTCAGCAGGGTTCTGTTGAGAACCTCGCCACAGCAGTTCGTCTGAGTCACCATAGGGACGCTGTGGCGCTGTCCACGTCCGAGTGATCCAAGCTGACGACCTGATAGCCTTCACCAAACAATTAAGAGATATTTCTGTTAGTGTCGTCTCAAGAAATATCCTTTAATTGTAAGGTGAAGGTTATCATTCTTCATCCTATATAGAGGAAAATATCAGAAACGTATGGAGGAAAATTTCTGCAAGAAACGTGACTTGAGAGTCGCATTTTCATGTTTTTTAAATGTTGGTGATAAAGAATTTGTTCAATGAGCTGCCAGACTCGTTCAAACGACTCACCTCATCGGTGCAATGTTTTTGTATACATGCGTATACGCCATAGAATAGATTTGACGTTAGTCAGCCATTCAATATTCACAGTCATTTCAGCCTCAATCACCCGTGTTTTCCTTCGTTCCGTGGTTGCCACAGACCCCGTTTCTTTTCTTTTTCAGTGTGCTAGCGGGGTCTATATACATTACCGGACAAAACATCCAGCATCCCGCCCGAGGTCGCCTTTTTCTTCTCTACCACTTCTGGTCGCTGGTTCGCTGTAGGCTACTGCGAACTTCTGTGGAGGATTTTAAGGGTCCGTATCACCAACTTTTCTTTCCTTCCAGCAGCCCTAATTCAAAATTACTGAGGGGTTGAGTCTGTCTCTCAATAGGAAAAAATAGTTTAGAATGAAATATTTGAGGAAATTCTTCTTCCTGGTGGTCGGTTGAACTTCACGCGCTGAGGGCTGCGCTAGACCTCCCGCCACCACTCCGCTTGTGCCGACTCTCTCCGGCGCGCGCAGATTTCATTTCTCCTTGGTTTTTACCTTACCGTCCCGATCTTTCGATTCTTCGGTCACGTGGTGGAGCGAAACGCAAAGATCTGCGAGCTTTCAGAGAGAGAGAGAGAGAGAGAGAGAGAGAGAGAGAGAGAGAGAGAGAGTGAGAGGGGGAAGAGGAGAGGAGAGAGGGGGGGACTCTCTCTGCGTTGCAGTTAGCAGTATCCAAACCACAGTGAGAGCTGGAGCGCGCGGACCCGTTGCTTTGCCTCTGACCGTGGTACCCCCGTCGTTTCCCTTGCTCTCCTACCCCTCCTCTTCTGCTTTCCTTCCCTTGAGAGCTTCTTTTCCCCCCGCGAAATATCCTTTCTCACTCTCAATTTTAATAGATCTCGGAGAAAGATAGAAGTGACGCATCCTTGATCTCCTCCACAGTGGTCGTTCTCGCGCGCGCTCTTTTTTTCTCTGGAACTGGATTTTTGAAACGACGTGGACGCGTGGATGATACACCGGGGCGAGAACTGGAGATGGAGTTGCTCGTGATCAGCCTCTCCTTATGGATCCTGCAGTGCCGCTCAGCTCGCGCGGACTCCATTATTCACATCGGTAAGTAGGCTACGGTCTTGGACAGACACAGATGACTTTCTTCAGTACATCGCTTTTTAAAGTCTAAAGCGTGCAGATTGAGACTTGATAGAGGACAGTTTGTCATTTGAGAAATGGCTTTAACTTGCCAGGAAACATTAGCAAACAGGTCCACAAAGTGCATTTCACGTGGTGGCGAACGCGTAGTGATTTTAGCTACACGAGACGAAATCAAATCGAGACGAGACGTCTATCTCAGTCTTTTTCAGGGTTATCTCCAGTCCACCCCTCCCCACCCTTAAGCCTGAACTTTCTGTTGAACGTGACGGAAATTTTAATTCCGTTCAGTGAGGTATGAGCGCGCGACAAGTCTCTTCTCGTGAATGTTTGCTCGGCGTTTCTTAACTGAACTTCAACTTGTGTTATTGTCTAATTATTGTAGATCGAATAATCTTTTTCTCAGACGCTTTTGTTTTATCAATCGTTTGTATTAGTAAGCTTAGCAGCCTAGATGCTGCATTCGGTCCTCTCCGGTAACTTACACTGGGAACGGAATTGGTTTGCTTGCTGACTTGAATAGATTGGCTCAAAACACCTGTAAATATGTTACTTTGAGAAATGTGGTTAAATACAACTGGTTAGCATTAGGATAAATAAAACTGGTTCTTGTCGTATTCTGATGTTTTCTCTGGTGCTTCTGGTGCTATTCTGTTGGTAGGGAAGCTCTCTTTTGTATGCAGTGGATGTTCTCCATCATCCGGTGTTCTTGGCTCTTCTCCTCACCACAAAGATCACTCAAAATTGGATTTGAAGCTTAGTTTTTAAACTGACCCCTTTTTAGTTACCTGTTATATTACCTGTTACCCGTTTATAATTCTTCTCAGGTTTGGTCTACACTATTTTTAATAACTGGTTATCCTTTGTATAGATTTTAACTTTATCCTGGCTATAGGTGGTTTTAGGTGGTGGACAATTATTTTCTAACTGTGTAGGCTACTGTATAGGCAAATGAGGTAACACTAATTTTTTTTCCTGGAAGTTATTCAAAAAGGTATTAAATTTAAAAGAGATAATAGAAAATGTTGGCATAATTTGGCCTAATCCTTTATCCTTAAAATTAAGAAGTACATATATTTTGTATTGAAATATTATTAATATTTGTCTGCCAAAGTCAGTTTGGTGTAAGGACATGCATGAAGCCATTTTGTTGTCATGTGACAAGAAAACCAAAATAGAGAGTTCACTTTTAGACCCTCATGATTGTGTATTTTGATTTATTTTTAATGAAAAGACATTTTGTTCATGTCAACTAGAGTGACTTAAAGAAAGCGTCTTGATATTCATGATTCAAAACTTTAGGATATTTGTTAAAAATACCTTAATTTGTAAAAAAAAAAAAAAAAAGATTAAGTTTAATGAACTTGTATTTAAAGGAAAATATTATATGTATGCATATATAGTAACCACAAATGCAAAGCTTGCATGCAGTATAAAAGCTTATCGTATGTATTTTTAACTAGGTTTTGAAAAGGTTTCTCCTTTTTATAACCTTAAACATCTTATTTGTCTTTTACCTGCATGTGTTGGCTAAGTGATTAAAATGCGTGCTATTGTTGCCTCAGTCCATGGCTTGAATAAAGCCCTATTTGCTTCTCCTACACCTTTGGCACTTCAGGCATTTTATCACTGTCGCCTTGATCTCAATGTGTCATATCATTGATGGGTCACTGTTTATAGTCCTGCACAAATCAGCCTTATTGATTGCATCCAGACACACTTTGATTTAATACTGGGCTGTATTTCCAAGTGTCATGGTCTTGTTAGTGAAACAGAACTCTATGGGTTACTCAGTCATGTGAAGTCAACGTTTAAATTGCTCTGTGCAATATTATGTCTAGGATTAATCTGTAAGCAGCTGAATAAAAAAAAATTCCCCTGCTTAGTACATGGCCCTCTGCAATTCTTGAATCTGATAGGTCAATCGTGGCATTGAACAGAATCATTTTGTATAATGATCTCTAAACAGGCAATTTTCATTAACAAACTAGTGCTCAAACCATGTATATTGTATTATTTCCAGTCTCTGAACGTTGGTAGAATCGTGCAATTCAAAACATTTAGATTGCAAATGAATGGTATCTAAACTAATATTGTAATATTGCCTCAGTGTTCGTCTTGTATGCTAGGCTGATTGTTTTCATTTGTGGAAGCTTTAAGCTAATCTACCAGTAAGATAATAAAATAATTTTCTCAAATCAATACTTCATATCCAGGTTTTTATTTATTTTGTAAGTAGCTGTGCAGTAAGAGCACAATCCTTTTCTTTATTTTTCCATTTCATTCATCTGTCTGGGATTTTTGCATGGCCTGTTCACTTTCTGAATTGAATGACTTTTCAAGGACTCTGTAAACTCTAACAACATATAAAAACAGCTCAAATTTGCCACGGATGCACCTTATCATGTATAAGATCCCCTTGACATAAAAGATCTTCCCGTAGGCCAACAACCCACTGTGTTTCCACAGACTGTAAAACGCCCTTGACAAATTAAGGATGCGTATAGAATATTTACAGCGTTTCCAGTGATTGCGCTCTCCATGGTGCTGAACTCACTCCTAAAGTGCTGTTGGCTATTGACAGGTGAGGAAGTTGCTGTAAATTGTGTCTGATGGTTATATGGTGCATTCTCTATAACCTGAAAGGGTATAACATAGTTTCAACATTTTAATGCACATTATGAATCTGCACCCTCTTCATCTTTACCCTGGAGATTGATAGGAAAGTTTGGAATAACTGTGAAATGGTTTCCAATGTGAATGATATATTAATAGCTACATACATTCTGTTTCATTCAACAGGAGCTATTTTTGAACAAAACGCCGTACGGGACGACGAGGTTTTTCAGCTTGCCATTTCAGACCTGAGTTTGAATGACGACATCCTCCAGAGCGAGAGGATTACCCATTCTATCAAACTTATCGAGCCCAACAACCCCTTCCAGGCAGTACAGGAAGGTGAGTGAGTGACTGGGATCTCTCAGCAATTGATTAACCACTCCGTTTTACTTTATCTTTCTGTCCGATCCGCTTGCTTGAACAGTTTCCCGATATCGTCGGACCTTCTCGTGAGGCTCTGACGTCAACAAGTAGAATAGCAGCAAGTGTGGGATTTCCATTTCTTTTTATGCATCTCCAGGGCTTTCAAGTGTTGATTTCCTCCTCTCTGTCTGTATTGTAATTCGATTTAAATCTTCTTCTTTGCCTTTCAAACTAACTAAATAAGCACCTCTTGGAATCAGAATCCAGTGGAAGTGTACCCATGTGGAAATGTGCTGAGAACATATGAGGTAACATGCTGAGGGTGTTTGTGTCACACAGGCAAGCTGGAACAGCAGTGCCGCTCACAGACAGTGATTTATGAATGTAGCAGGACTTGATTTATGTTATCAAGCATGAAGGCCAGCTATCATCATCTGTCCACTTCAGACATTTTTTGCTTCCGTTTGTTTATTTGTTTAAATCAGCATTAAGAAATTCATTCACAGAACACAGCAAGTTTATATTTGCTGATTTAAATGTAAATTTTCATTCCCTTCCTCATATAAGCAAATCTTCAGTTTGATCGTGGCTACCTGAGATTAATTTTAAAAACAGATATTAATACAACAAATTTCTCTCATATTACAGAAAGTGTCCATGGTCCGGCTTCATGAAAATCTTCTAAAGAAGTTGAGAAATTTCGAATGAAATAGATTGCTTGTATTGATTGTGTGGCAGAATTGCTGTCGAACTCAATGAAAAAACACCTCAAAGGCCATTTTTTGCACTTCCTGGAGATTATTGTAGTAATCATTATAATTACGCACACTACTTTTGGCGCAGTTGGCTTGGTGGGAGTTCTGACGTTGACGTTGGATTTTTTAAAATGCGGCGTGTATTTTAAATGCTTCTTTTTAAAGAGCCTCAAATTGGAGTGGTCTTGCTTTCAGTTGCGCTCCATTTCTCTTTCTAGAGTGAATGTGTCCGGTATCTCTGTGTGTCTACTAGAGTATATGAGTAAATTATGTCTTAATTATAAAATTTAAAACAAGGTTGCTATTGAGTAAGTTATGTCACGCATCATTGTTTGCATTGTCACTTAAGAGTACTTGAAGATATTTATTATAAGTAGCTGTTATGTTGTAATGCTTAATATTTGAAACAACCCAAGCAATTCTTTAAACTTTAAAACCTTTAAATAACTTTTAATTATTTACAATGATTTTAAGAACATTCTTTTCAGGAATTAAAATTTGTCTTAGTTTTATCTTTAGAACTATGTTAAAAACAAAGATAAGAACATTCTTAAGAAATGTTTTTGAGAATATAAAATATTTTTAAAGTGCCCCTTTATTAAGCTTCCTAGTTTTGTTCTGGAGGTCTCCTACCATAGGGGAACCGTCAGCTCCCTCAAAGAGGGCCTAAATTATTTTAAAAATTATATTAAAACTTTTATTAAAAAGACATTAGTTCTAATGTTATTTTTGGAATTCATTATTTCACATGTGTAAACATCTAAATCTTCTTGGGGAATAAACCTTTCAAATCTGCCTTTTCAGTTTGTGTTGGAATGTGATGGTTAAATGAAAGATGCCCGTTTCACCTAACGCTTTAAGCTCAGTGATTGGTGGTCTAGCTATGAAAATACAGAGGGCCAAGCAATAGCTAGTCAATGAGAGACTAATTGCAAATGACGGGAAAATTGACCAATCGAATTGTCCCTTTAAATGGGTGGGACTCTGATAATATAGCTAGCACTGTTCACTATGGAAACCGCATAACATTACTGAGAAGGACATTGTTGCTAATTTATTATCCATGCTGTTTTCAAGATTAACTTTTAATGCAAATTTTGAGTTAATCGGCAAAGGAAGACAGACATACACCAGAGCTTAAATTTGGTGCAGAGAGCCAAAGCTTTTGAAAGCATTTCAACCCATAGACTAAAAAATATGGACTGCGCGTCTCCGCTTTCTCTCCACTGTAGAAAAACGAAGCCAAAATATCCAGTAACGGTCCTTGCCGATTACGTCATTCGGAGCCCAAGTCTGCACAGTAGTGAGCCTGAGTTGGAGTGGCATGAGTTGATCCCGCCCACACTCCCGAACCCATAGACTCAGTCGCAAGCATAGGTGTCAAACATGACGTTATACCCTGTTTTTATAGCATCAAATAACTAACTACAACCAAACTAATTGGAAAAATGCGTCTGCATGTTAAGAAGTACCTAAAATGGCAGGAGCCATCTTTGGAAAAAAGGGATTTGAAGTGTAATTGGATTCTTTAGTTTGGCTCGTGGCCCATTTGATTACATTGAGAGGGCGGGGTTTAAGACCTATACTGAAGTGTCTTTCACTAATTTGCTTTGTTCTGATCGCTGTCATGATGTATCAGCTTACATAATATTTTATTGGTTTTGTGTGTCATACATTTTGTCACCATATTCCGCTGAAATGCACTTAACGATTGTGAGATGATGCAATTATTTGTAATGAGGGTTTGCATTGTATAAAATTTTGTTTTATTTTGGTGAAAACTCTCACACTCACTGTGCTGTTTGTTTGTTGCATTACTTGTCAAAGGTAATGTATGCAGCACTATAGAAGAGGACACAATAAGCTAGGATGATTTTAGGCTGAGTTGACTTTTTCCAGACGAGGGAAGGGGTGAGAGGGCCAAGGTACAAGAGTCATGGTTCACTACTTTCTCCTACAATAGGTTTACATGCATCCAAGGTAAAAAAACACGTACATTTTCTTATGATATACATTGCAGCATCACCTACTTTTGAAACTGTCTGAAACAGTACGATCATGGATTTGGTCTCTAAACCACTTTCCGAGAGCCTACTCTCCTCTCATTGGTCAGATGGCCCAGTCTTTTGTGATTAGTCTACTGCTTATAGCACATGTTGGAAACGAAACGCCCACAATCTGAATTTCTGCTCCAGAGGCTTCCTGAGCATTTTAGCGCATCTATTTGTGCTTGAGTCCTCATCCATTGGAAGTGAATGCAAAGTGGATTCGCTCTCGCAGTGCAGGAAACAGTGTCTTCTCGACATGTTGACAACACGAACCAGACTCTTCTAGGTCTCAGTTACAACTACAGTGTTTGAGGACGCGTCAGAGTAGACGTTGTTCGCGGACAGCCAATGAAGACCATAGGCTGGCATTATGCAAATGTGTTACAAACCTACGTAGGTTCATGCAGTAATTAAGACAACTTGTTTCAGGAAGTTGGGTTCTTTCTTTTGGGAGAGAATAACTCAATTTCTTGTGCACATTGATCTTTGAAACTTTGCAGACATTTTACGTTTACAGACATCTATAACATGCATGGAAAGCAATATCCTAAAAAGCATAGTAAGGGGCACTTTTGAGTTAGAAAATAAGAAGAAAATAGCAAAATTCTATTCTTGAGAATGTTTGTTGAATCCGGCTCCAGAGTGTTTAGAGATGACAATGGGAATGATTGGCCATCCTGGGGACACCGAGGGCCAGATGTATGTACATTTGCGAACGCAGCGTTAATAGCGCCATGGCCAAGATGCAGAAAGCGCTTGATGTGAAACCGCAGTGTGTGTGTTACGTACTAAACCTGCAGTTCATCAGGTAATCAGCGCCTGTCCCCCCATCCACTATACCGTAAATTGCGCGTATTTAAACGCGCAATTGAATGGGCCTCCTCCTCTCACTGCTGATGCTATGACTGTTTGAAATGATCCTGATGCCAATAATTGTAATGCAGCGAGGAGTTTAACAACTGCTGGAATGGAATGTGAACGCTGAGTCGGAGATTCGATGTCATCTTTGATTTCTTCCAGTAACTGTAATATTGCGTAGAGCTTAATCTGTAACGCTTAATGATTTCGTTTTCACTCAACTGAAAAAGTGTGATTCTTGTGGCAAAAATCTTTTCAGCTCGTCTCCTTAGCCTATGTCTTCGTCTTGCTCGGATTACTGCTGCCATTTCACCAGGAGGCATATGCCAGGAAACCCGCTTCCTAAGTTACACCTGCTTTTAAGAGGCGGAGAATTTTCAGCGCAAAATAGAGGCGCGCTTTCACCGGCTTTTTCTGTACATAACGCGGAATACATAATTAGGCGCAGTTTACGCTTCCCCTCCCATCTCTTTATGTGACACTCCCACTTTCCCCTTGACCATCCCATGAATGCATATGCATGACACGAAAAGCGCATTTTGCCATTTTCCGTTCCCGCGACAGGCAGTCTGCGCTTTCATTTCGGTGCGTGCCGTTCGTACATACCTCGCCATGGTTTTACTTTTATGCGCACTTTGCGAAAAAAATACGCCTGAAGTGGGCGCAAAAGCGTTAGTACATCTGGCACAGAGTATTGCTCTTCTGTCTTGTTTCCAGGGGCTCTGGGATCGATTAGCCTCCCTGGTTTTGAGTGACAGTTGAGTGGTGATGACCTTTCACTTTGCTCTTTAGCTCACATTCACCCTACTGAGAAGAAACTCACCTGTAAAAAATACACAAGTGCACACCCACAGTCACATACAGCCACTTAATCTTCTCTATCAGCAACACACATAGACTTTTGGCATAGCATAGTTCCAGGCTTTTACCCACCAGTCAATAAAATGACTTAAGATCCTGTATATTGAGAGATGACACACAGCGTGAGCTTGTGGCTCAGGTGAGAGTGTGTATTGCGAGGACACAGCTGTGTGTTTATCTCACTTGCATTTGTGCCGCTATGGGCATTACGTCTAATTACTCATTACAGCTGTGTGACTAAATCATTCACCCACACAGACATCTCACACAGTAGGTCAGTGTGTGTGGGTGCAGAGGTGTGTGTGTGTGTGTGTAGTAGAGGAGGAAGGGGTTTTTTCCCCCCGGTGTGTGTGAGAGAGACTGTGCTACTGCATAACAATGAACCAGTGCAGATTTATTTTTTTTGTGAGAGAGACAATAATGCAAGATAGCAGATTCCTGTTGTGACGAGTCA